GAGTTTGACTGTACCGTACAACCATGGATTTTGCTACATTGACCTCTGCTGCCAATAATGTAGCACTGCAGCCTAGAACACCGGTTCTGCAAGGTGGTGGCCCATCCAAGCATTACCCAGGCTAAACTCTGCTTGATTTCAGAGATTTGGCCTATTGCTGATTAAAATGTCAAACTAATTTCTTTCGAACTGCTTTTTGTTTAGTTTGTTGTCCATCCCCCGCACCTCTAATTATCATGGTTGGCAACGTACGGTGCGAAAGAAGTTCAACGTACATACGTCATGGGTCATCACAAAGCCGCTCGCAAATTCTGGTGTACTTCCAGTTTACTTAATTGGATAAGACATTCTAAATGTACGTTTTGATTGCTGAACACAAGCCAAAAGACTTCTTATGTAAAGCTGCAATCAACTTAGCGCTAATGCTCGTATAGCAAATAAGAGCAGGCACATTTCTTGAATTGGCCATGGTTATGTAAAATTGAGAAAATATACAATGGGAATTTTAAAGTTGAACAATGTGACGAAAGGTGAGATATGTTTTTCCTACAATATGGTGGTTGAACACAGGATCGATGAAAATATAATTATTTGACACAGGTGGAGCTATCAGGGTGTGAAGTTCATAGCTCAGGATAAAACACTACGGGGAAATGTTCAACGCTTTCATCAATATATGACTGGATGAGGTCTTCCTCATGCTAAACAGGTCATTAACCCTACTTCATCATGCTGGTCAAAGCAAGTTTGTGATCATGGATTTTGCTGTACTGCCAACCACTGACAATGTAGCAGAGGAGCAGTCTATAGCAATTGTATTGTGCATATTGGCTGCCTATTCATTCACTATTCAGGCTCAATCCAGCTTAGATTCCAATCTCGGACAGGTGTATTCCAGGTGATTTGTTCCAGAGGCAGATCTAGAAACTTCCCAAATTGGGGAGAACGGTGGTCCCAAAATCTCTCTCTTTTTAAAATTGGGCCCTACATAAAAAAATGACTCTTCCATGGTAAATAATGAAATACCAATTTTTGAGGTCTTAAGGGAGGAGGGGGTCATCCCCATCCCACCCCCTTACCCCATCTCAGATCTGAGATCCAGATTCACCACCCACTTGTTCGCGACGCTGAAATCTACCCCGACGCGATGCAAACGTCCACTCCACCTGGTCACAGAAGTAGGGCGAGCTGGCGGCGAGCACGGCGCGGTGAGCTCGGAATGTGCGACCCTGAACGCCCACGGTGAGGTCGCACAGCTGACCCTCGAGCCGCTGCTGGTTGAGGCGATGCAGCACGGCCTCGCTGAAGTGCGGAAAGTCGACGAGGATCGTTCTGCTGTCGGGGGCCATCGTCGCACCATCCAGCAAGCCCCGGTCATAGGCGCTTCCCTGCGGCAATAGAATTGAGAAGTGGAACGCAAACCCCCCTCCCCCAGGCACCGTGGGAAACAATGTAATTATAGGCGTCAGCTAAGTGGAGAGATGTATTTATTCGTGGCTTAAATGGCATATAACTAAGACTATACATTTGTTTTCATACCTATGTGTTGAACAATACAGTAAGGGTACTTGCTGCTGCATTTGGTGATTACATAATGTACACATTATGTGTGTTAAATAAAAAGGAATACCAACTGCATTTGCAATAATCTGCAGGTAAAAAAAATGCGAATTAGCCAGCTGCAGGCCTGTTAATGTTTGCTGTGATGGTATTTCTGGAAGTATTTTAATTAGGCGCAGGTTGACAGCCGTGTCTATTAAGTGTCATCACCCTCTAATAATTAAATGCACGTCCCCACTGCGAGTTACGATGATCAATTCGTGCACTTTGTGACTGTACCGAATGGACTGATCTAACGAGCACAGAGCGATGGCTTCCGCAGTGTTCCACACACGTGTTGTGTACTGCAATGCGTGTCTGATCATTTTGTTTACCAATTGAGGTCAATCACTGCAGTAGCGGCACAGCTGCAAACACGAGGCAGTAAGCTCCATTCAATTAACGCGTCATTTAGGTGGAAACGAAACCAGTTCGCAAGCGGATAGCATCGTTTAAACGACTCGGCACGTGCGAAACACTCGAGCTCGGCAAAATAAACACCGTGAGCCGCAGTAATCGCACGCTAATTGCGCGAAATAGGCCAATTAACTCTGCCCAAAAGGCGCGAATAATGGAACCTTGGGCGCTCTGCACTGAAATGGCACAATAAGGGGAATACCGCGAATCACAACACAAGACGGAGCAAACAGCATCACGTAAACGCACAGGGATCGAGGTCAACGTCGCGCTTGTTACACCACTTGCTAGAGGCACAATCGTCACTGTATTTTCGGCACGGGGCAGATTTTAGAAACCGCGCGTCCACTCACTTCAATAGCCACGCCACGATGTTTCGTCAATCTGTTAAAGCGCGCGAACAACAACAACAACAAACAACCGCCTCAATCATCACCCGTTGTTATCGCGACTAAGGACCCACGTAACATTTCACCGCGGCGTTCAGCTCATGTCCACTATCCCCACTGCCCCTGCCGCTCTCGCCTAGGCCGCAACCACCACCGCCGTTCGCCGCCTAGCAACAGCAGCTTGCAATTTCCCAGTTCGGATAGGGCACCGCACCCCCTCCCCCACCCCCCGCGGATCGTCACGGCGTCCAATCACGTTGTCGCATGCAAATTTGTTTCGCGCTGAGGGAGGGGTGGGTGGGGGGCGCGGGGCCAATCAGCGCACGAGGCTGGCGGGGCGGGGCGGGGCGGGGGAGACGCCGGGCGCTTATGTGCAGTAGGGTTTTGTGTAAAGCCCCCCCCCCGCCCCGCCCCGCCCACCCCCGGCGCGGGTGAATGTAAACATTGGTGACGTCACGCGCGTTGGCCATATTCGTTCTCGTGCCGGATTATAAGACGCAGGGCAAAACTTTCGTTATTTTGTTGCTGCCCCGGCGTTAAATTAAGTTCCCCGAAGAAAGAAAGAAATGAAAAAAATCTGGTCCAACACTAAAACTCTCGTAATAGGATTATATGGCGCGCCCATATTTAATTAAGGCAGAACAAAACACGCTTTTCCTAATGCTTTCAATGAAGGATTGAGTCGGGTCAATGAAGAACAACATTTGGTGATTTACTTAGAACCGATTTACTGGACACTGACCCGTCCCTACTGGACAGATGTGAGAAAGAGTCTTATAGCTCATCGGATTCCTCCAGTATAAATACATGTTCTGATTCTGAGACGTCCAATTGCTTTGAGCGTTGGCTGAATTGCAGATCCACCGTGTTCAAATGTATATTTGAGGGCAGTACGAAATTATATGGTCCATAATTTGGCGTTCGCATCCACAGTTGCACACAGAAGTATTTTCCCCTTGTCGATGAGATAGGGTTGCCAACTCTCACTGAAGCTTTTCCGAGAATTTGTGCAATTTATTTTTGAATCCTATTAAGATCTCCCAGATTGCTTTCAATAGTCAACGGGAGATCTATGCCAATTAAGGTAGACTTCCGGTCCCATCTGGTAGGGTTGGCAACGCTAGCATTGGGTGTCCACATCTGTGGTATCAGAATCAGAATATTTATTTCCTGGAGGAATCCGATGAGCTATGAAGCTCTTTTGCACAGATGTCCAGTTGGGGCGGGTAAGTACAAAAACATGATAGTCGTGCAAAGTACAAGAAAGGTAAAAAAAAATCACCCAAACACATACAAATACAACGAAACCACCCCCTTCTAGAGTTGAAGCTTTCGTGACTGCAAGGATTCATACTCTTAGGTCACGTAGATATTTTTTTAAAATAATAAAATAATAATAAATGAAAATAGCTAAATTAAATCACGACGTTTCGGAAGTTTCGTGATTTAATTTACTTATTTTCATTTGTTATTATTTTATTATTTAAAAAATTACTGCGTGACTTTACCGAAAAAAGACTAAGAGTATGAAACCAACCCCATCCTACAAGGCAAAGTCCACTGAGGTACTAACTTATTTTTCAAAAGTGACCTGGCCACAGATGATAGCTCAATAAAGTGACCCATCATTTGGACATTCTTGCTCATTCCTACAGTGGAATATCAAAGCCTGGCAGTGGATAGTGGTCGGATTTACTGATCAAGTGTTTAATTGTCGAGTACATTTGCTTTAATCCCACAAATTAATCCACGGCGTCTCGATGCTGAAAATCACGTCACACAGTTCGTGTATATTTCCTAAATGACTTTCCAGACCTTGGCCGTAGATATGGAATGTTGTGGAGGTTTGATTTCTGATCGGTGCAGTTCATCGCGGTCGCTAACGGATGGTGAAATATTGGAGAGTACAGAAAGCCAGGACAACGGAGTTGATGTTAAAAGTCTCCTGCTTGTGTTGTTGTTGCACAAACGTAAACAGGAGGATCCGTCGGATATCATACATTTATGAAAATCAGATCAAGCCTCCCGTATATCACGTGACTTATTGCAACCACCCCCACACTCTTCTCCCCGCTGCCCCCTATAAAAAAGACTCTAAACCATGCAGCTAACTTTTGCTGGCTCCTTCTCTCTCCGTCTCTTTTCTCCTTTCTCACCACCATCCTCTCAACATTCATCTTGGCCCGGTCATTCATTCTCGCCCATGTCCCCTCCATACCCAGCGTTCTTTCTTTATTCCTGCTGCTCATCTTGAGCCATGCACTCTTTGGGGTCTTTGGGACTTTTGTCCCAGCATCCCTTTCCTTCCCTGTTCCTTTCTCTTCGTCCATACCTTATATCTTTGAGTCGACCGCCCCTACCTACCCATGGTGTACCCTTGGTGTACCATAGGTAAAACTGAAATATAGCATATTAAATTAAAGAGCTTTCGCGACACCTCATATACCCCAATATAATGGCAAAAAAATAGCAAACTGTTCAACAGACAATTGGACGTGATTATGTTTTTTGTTCTACTTTAAATTACTGTACCATGATTTCTGAAACAACATTACTGTACATGTTAAGAAACACACTTTTGAAAAAACAGCAATGTGTGCTTAATAGAATCAACGTTATTATTATTCTTGCAAGCAAAACAAAAAAATCATGTAAAATGAGCTGTAATTTTCTCATCCTTGTTCCACAAGTGTAGCATTTTCAAAAATGATTTCACAAAGAGTTATACACTTGTTGTATGACATCGTTTGATGTAAAAGCAAAGCACTTATCATTGGAATAAAAGAGATAGAAAAAAAAGCAATCAAATGACTACAATACAGTCATGTAATAATAATCAATATTTGAAAAAATCAACATGTAAATACTGTGTTATATTTTGTGTTGCATTCGGTAAAAGCGTGCAGGAGAAATCTGAAATTGGTACCGAGTGAGTCAAAGGTATCGGTCGGTCCCACCTGTGGTGGCAAATGATGGGAGCATCCCCTGTGAGCAGGAAGCCTCGGGTGCGAGGGTTGATCAAAAAGTACTGGGACTACTTTTACTTAGACAAAACTAGTCATTTGGTGGCAAATCTGGTGAATTTGGTGGGTGAGGAACTAGGTGATGAGACTTGGTATTGTTTATTGGTGGACAATTGTCGTCACCTCGACCAAAGAGAGCAAGAGAGGTGCACTCGAATGTGAAGACGATATCGATTGTATTGTTTGACAGTGAAGGTGTGTTCGTTCCACAAGGTCAGACAGTTAATCTTTGTTTTATTTGGCCGTTCTGAAACGCCCATGGGATGCAGATCGGCAGAAACGGCATGAAAAATGAGAGTTAGGTGTGCGGATCTTGCATCACGTTAACGCACCGTCACATTCAGCACTGTCCATACAAGGATTTCTGGCGAAGGAAAACATTCCGCTGGTTCCTTGCCCACCATATTCACCAGATTTGGAACCAAATGACTTACTTTTCTGTTCCCTAGATTGAAACGCTCCCAGAAGGAAAGACGTTTCAGGATTTGCCAACCGTAATCCAAAATGCAACTCGGCACCTGAAAGTCTTCATGAAATAAAAGGACCGGAGATGCCTCGACACTTGGCATGACTGCTGGAATTACTGTGTTCGATCAAGAGGAGACTACTTTGAAGGAGATCAATTTTATTAGGCATGTTGTCCTTTAGTTTTGTCTACATTCCGTCGATGTTGCATATCATTTTTTCCCGTCCAAATTTATATTTTCGATTAAACATACTCCGCACTGCACTCTCTTTGATGATAGTTTTCTCATTAAAAGCTACCAGGGTAGCCTTGCTATCATTTGTGATCTAGAGATAAAATACTTGAATAGGATAATTGGAAGCATTTGCTGGCCTAGGTGGTACCAATAAAGAGGTTTGATCAAGCACCAAGGGTAGTTAAGCATGCCTATTTGAGCCACCTTATAATACACTTTTGAAATACATAATAGCTTTTGAGGAAGCTTAAGTGTGTTATGCCTGGAACAATGCACTTTGAGAGCTTGCCAGTTTCACTCAGTGAGCGTAAGCCAAAGGTGTCCTTCGTGTAGACCTGTAGGGTACGCACAGCACAAATGTAATGACAGTAACAATGAAACTGTAGAGTTAAGGGCAAGGGAGCGAATATATTTTGCTTAGAATCTACTAGCAGCTCACACATTGTTTGGAGGTTACCATTCAGACCCCCAGCTGCATATCAACGTCATTTCATATGTTGAGGCATCGATTCAGCAGTGCTACCCTGTTGCTTAACAGACCGAGCAAAGGGAATGGATGCCACAAAGCTACTTTTGAAATGCCATTAAGTGAACTGGTCCACCACACACGTTTCACTCGCTCTGCCAATTAGAGTTTGTTGCATGACAGTCATACCGACATTTTGGCATTCCCAAAGCCGTAAATTAGCCTAATGAAATTCAAAACCAAATTCAGTGTGTTGGTTTATTTACGTAGTAATTTATGATATTGTTCTTACTTTGCTTTATGTAAAGATGTAATGTATTGTCAAGTATAAAAATGGCATACCTCCTGATTCGCCATTCTCAAGATGTTCATATTCTTGTCATAGGTCTCAAATAAGCTGTGAATGTAAAATATAAAACACGTAAAATTGGCAATTAATTCTACACTAAACTACAATATAAATGTACAAAATGATTCCTACTATATAACTCAACTGCACTCATGCAAAATAAATGTTAAGCAATCAAATATTGTATTTATGGCTTCCATATTCATACATAAACTATGCAGAACTTGTGGGAAGGAGAGTGTGATATTCAAGCGGCCGTGTGGCCAGCTGTACAAAGGGGAGAGTTAGTGTGAAAGTGATCAAGTATGTATCTTGAACTCTTTTTCGCACTATACGTAGCCAACAGTGTTTATCAGAAGGTTCGATGAAAGTGATGTTATGTGAAGTTGCATATTTGGTGGTATGCATCACAATGATAACGGTGATACACGTTAATAATTTACTGATTATGTTGAAAGAGAAGTCTTCGAGTCGTCCGTGAGCATTGCAGTGGACATATATCCTTATTTGTGCAAAAATAAGCTTTAAGCTTTGTTACCAATATTTGACAATACTGTCCTCACCTAGACTGCCAAGGTGTCACCTCTTTATCAGCGGGACCTCCAATGAGCACCAGGTTGTTGATGCGTAGAAAATTCCTTTTCCAAACTGAAAAGATTCAGAGTTTTGAGAAATAAATGTCAGTGGAAAATTAGTACTGTGTTTAATTTGGCTGATTAACGTATTACTACTATAATGAGCCAAGAAAATATATTTGTGTGTAACGCGCGTCACGTCACTCCACATGCCGCACCCCCCCTCATTAATAATCATGAGCAGGTGACGTCACTCCACATCGAACAACCCCCCTCATTAATAATCATTATAAGGTGACGTCTTCCAAATGGACACCCCCCCCTCAATTAAAATTAATTAGCGCCTAACGTCACTCCACATGGGGGGGCGAGGCGCCTCCTCCCCCCTCATCGGCGTCAACTCACAACCCTCACTACAAAGGCAGAACCCTCACGTCACGCGATCTCCGTCACGCTGTTGAGACATCGAAGTAAAAAGGACGTCATGATGAACGAGGGATTAGAACCTTTAAATGCAATAAGTCTGTGTCACCGGGGCATTACAAATTACACACGCATTGATGCAATGAGTATCACGTCGCGGTCTGCTTTTCGCTTGCAAGTTTCAGATTTACTGAAATACACGCGGTCCTTCGACGGGCAAAAGGCGAGTAATATAATATTTGGCCTGAGCCACTGTTTCATAACTTTTTCCGGCGTTATAATATTTTTAAGAGCATGCGTACCATTGGCATTTGGGTTGTATATCTGACTGTTGAGAAGAGGCAGGAATATGTTGTACTTTGCATATAGATCTTGATGCATAGGATCTGAAACAATGTTAAATTAGTGTTAGACAATTTAGTAAAACATTTAAAACTTTTACAATGATAATTCATTTTTACAACCTGCTATTAAAAATAGAAACTACATTATATGACTGTACTGTAATATTACTGGTAGGAACCTCCTGGTTACACCAGCCCACAGGGGAGTATTGTGTCCGTCGTGCAGGGAGGGGCTGGGTGGGGAGGGAGGGGCTGGGTGGGGAGGGCTGGGTGGGGAGGGTGGGGAGGGTGGGGAGGGGCTGGGTGGGGAGGGTGGGGCTGGGTGGGGGGTGGGAGGGGTGGGGCTGGGTGGGGAGGGGCTGGTCACCTTGTGGTGCCCTTATAAAACTCAACATTTAACCTACTCACGCCGGCATGTGCCCGCCCTCACAGTCGGCCATATTTGCGGAATACACCACGCCGCCGTTGACCCTGCAGGCCATTGACCGAGCAACCCAACGTTTCTACCAGCTCACTCTGCAAAAATGTGTTTTGAATTACACTTATATAATCAGGGACGCCTGAGTATCAACACCTTTTTAGCAGGTTTCTGACAAGAAGCAATTTTGCGATGTATAATCCTGAAATGTGGAAATTTCAGGTATTTTTTTTGGTATTGGGAAGTTTGGCCAATAGCAGTAGCGTTTGAAAGTATGTTTTTTTTGCAAACGGAGTAAACCGGTCAACACAGAGAAACCCAACGCAAAACAGAAGTAGAACATACTAACTCCACACACAAGGGAGCCCCAGTCGGAAATCGACCCCAGACCTTTCTTGTTGTGAGGTACAAGTGTTACCACTGCGTCACACTGCTGCACAAATTTAGGAGCCGTCCATAAATGACGTCACGCAATTTTGGACCATTTTGGACCACCCCCCCCTTCGTCACACGGCGTCACAAGAAGTCAGACCCCCCCTCAAATATGACGTCACAAAGCTCTGCCCCCCCCCAAAATAAAACATGCTTCAAATCGCTTCAAACTATTGTCATTGTAGTGCGTATTTAATCTGGCGCTGCACTCTGATGTTGTAGGAGAAAACATTTATTAAAAAGTATATTTAATTAAGTAGAACGTGTTGTCTATATTTATTTTAAGTTGCGCATTTTGATGTGACGTCACATTTCTCACCCCCCCCCCCCCTCGTCACACATCATCACAAATGTCTGACCCCCCCCCCCCCTAGGTGCGTGACGTCATTTATGGACGGCCCATTAGTACGTGGATCCCTTTTGTCAATCCACTGCTGGATAATAGCATCCCTACACCGTGTGGGTCTGCATAGCTATTTGACCATACTTTACCACACTTGCCAGTGATGTTCGGTGGCCAGGTTAAAATCACAGTGCACTAACCACTGTGCCACTGCTCCACCCCTGTAATAAATTACCATACTTGATATATTCTTAACCTTAAGGCCAACCTACTTTTACTGCGCAAACCCACATTCATGCAGGCACATACCATTCCAGTAGTTGCATATCGACAGATGTTGGCCGGGTGTGGTGTAGCAGAGTGTGTAGACATGTGACTTTATTATAGCCACCATACTTCTGACAACAGTTGAATCTACACAAAACATTGCATCAAAAAGTAAGTTAGACTGGCGTTTAAATTGTAACTGTCACACAAACACATTTCAATCAGAAGTAAAAAATATATATATATGATTGTGAACTTTGAAATGGCACCGTACTTCCGTATTCGCCCATCTGTGGTGAAGCTAACGAAATGAAGGCGTCCACATTGTGATTCGGCAATAAACACAATGCTGCACGGCAGAGCAGGCCACCTGGTGGAAGAGACGATGACACAACGTGCATTGGTTGCAGTCTCTATGATGCTGTTGGAGTGGTGTTCATGGCAGTGGCGGCTCCTGCAAAATCTCTCAGGGGGGGCAAATGTCTGGATGATTGATAAGGATAAGGGTCCACCCATGCAATGGATAAATTAACAGCTTAAGAATGTAAAGGTAACTTCACTTCTTTAATATTAATGAAAAATAAAGTGACTCTTACAATACATATTGTTTGTTTCTATACTCACTATTATTACAATCCACTCAGTTTCTTTTATTAAAGATTCCACTAGGTAGTGACAAATAATATTGTTGACTGAAACGTGCTTACGTATGATGACGTAAGCACGTTAGTGCGAGCCCTCCCGGAAGCCATAGAGAATGCATTGCAGCGCCCGCCGTTCGAAAAAAAACATCTTTGAATGTAAGTCTATGGGGCCACTCGGGGCGATTCTCAGCCGGAGTGAAATCGCCCAAAAAGAGGCGGTACTCCACAGAACGTGACATGACGCTGATTAGACTATATCCAGAGGCTGCAGTGACGGCTAGCGTGACTCTGTGGTTGAATGACATTGGTGGTGCCTCGCCCAATCGCCCTAATGAAGAAACCGCCCCTGGTTCATGGGCTGGAACACGAAGACCTGCAATCCAGCGGCCACCGGTTCGTTCTCCCAGCAGGGGCGAATTTCTTAATCCCACCCAAACCTGCCCACCACCTTTGTCCATCCAGCAGTGTACGAGTATATGGGTTCACCGCGGTGAGTCGATCTGCCGGTCGCGCGTGGGTGATCCCAGATCTCCCAACGTGTTGAGCCAATGTGGAGCAGTAGACCAAACACCCTCTAGAGCAGTGGTTCTTAACCTGGGGTGCACGCAACCCCTTGGGGAAGCGAGATGCCCTTTCTGGGGGTGTGATTTTTGCACACAGCGTTGTGATACGGTGTTTCTTTTTTTCTGGAAGATCTGCTAGTTTATTCAGGATGTTTCTGTTGTGCGTCGTCGCTTTAAGATGTTCTCTGTTCATATTTTGTTTGTTGCGGTTGCACCCTACTCAAGAGCTGCATGGCTCACAGGGCTATACCAAATAAATGAAACTTGAGACATGGCCAGATTTTTTTGGAAGGTAAATAATCGAAAACACTAATTAGCACGGGCACGTAGGTACAACTACTTTGTTTCATCAAACCTTTGTATGTATTAACATGACACAGGCTGCACAGGAGGTTAAGAACCACTGCTCGAGAAGGGTTCTTGAGAGCTCTTGCCTGTGGAGGTCATTCTGCCAGCAGTGCCCAGAGCAGGCAATTGAATGGCAGGACCTTTCCCTTTCCGGTCTCAAGTTCGTACATGTGCTGCTTTAGCACAATACAGCCAGTGGAGAGGCTATTTAAAGGCTTTAATTAAAAGTCACACCATTATTGAAGCTATTAAAACCATTGGGATTAGTCTCATTTACACTGGCGACAGCTGGGAAGGCCCCTGTCATACAATTGGCAGACTTGTTAAATGCAGACACAAGGAGATTCGAAGATAATAATTTTATTTTAACTGCAAAGTCGAATTATAAATCTAAATACAATGCAATTCAGGACTTATCTTACCATATAAAATTTAATTTGGATTCAATTTACAGTACGTTTACTTGCCTTTCAAACAATGCATGGTTCCATAAAAAAAATTATTGTTGTTTTTGTAAATTGGTAGTGTATCAAAGCATGCTTTATAAATATGATTAACGAACATCTACTAAAATCACATATACAGGTCATTATCATGACGCGTTATCTCCAATCGAAGGGGTTGACAGTCTTGAATCCCCATATTTTTCCATCCCATATTTCTTGTAACCTATCTTAATTTTGGAGCTTTCGTGACTGCAGGAATTATTCGTTGGTTTTTTCGGTAAAGTCACGTATAAAGATAAAATAATAAATTAAATTAAATAATAGCATACGACGTTTCGATTGCAACACAAGCAATCATCATCAGGTATAATGAAAGAGCGACATAGAATCTAACCAGAAAACTATAGACAGACATATAAGCAGACAGACATCACCAAGATACATAGAGAGAGAGCAACCCAGGTACAGAGAGGGGTGATCGTCTCTGTGGGATGTAAACTTTTTTTCCCTACCCCCTCCCACTCTCTGCCTCCGACCCCCTCTGTCTATTTAAGGCCATCCCACAGAGACGATCACCTCTCTCTGTACCTGGGTTGCTCTCTCTCTATGTATCTTGGTGATGTCTGTCTGCTTATATGTCTGTCTATATTTTTCTGGTTAGATTCTATGTCGCTATTTCATTATACCTGATGATGATTGCTTGTGTTGCAATCGGAACGTCGTATGCTATTATTTAATTTAATTTATTATTTTATCTTTATACGCGACTTTACCGAAAAAAACAAAGAATAATTTCTTGTAGGCTGGCACACATTGTTCTTGTCAATAAAACCACTCCACGACTGCATGCTGCCCCTACCATCACTTCTCAGCCTCCTGTTCCATCTCTTGTGCTCACTCTCACCAGTAAACACGCAAGGTTCATCGAGCCCTCGTGTGTCACCGCTCATCCCAAAATGTGCGCCCTTTTTATCGCTACAATATTTTGTTAAAAAGTTGACAAATTTGCTCTGCTCTTTGCAATAGAGGGTGCTTAAAAAAAAAAGTTAACACTTTTGAGAATTTGCAACAACATCACGAGAAATATGCCTCCGGGCTCTGGAGACCACCTGCAGAAGATTCCAGGCACGCGTTGACAATGATGGTGAACAAATGGAGACTCTTTGAATTTTTGAAACTATAAACATACATTTGTTATCATGTCACAGTGTATTATTACCCGTTATTTTTTCATTAAAAACGATAGTCCCATGTAAGTGTTAACATTTTTATGAAGCAACTTGTATTTATTAATTTTTTCAATTTTTCAAATTCTGCGGAATTTCATCATTATTCTCAGAACCTACATTTCTCGACTAACCAGCCGTCATTCGCTGTTCAATCTATTAATTAATGTTCAACGTGTCATTTCGCCCTCCACATCGGGCGGATCATGGACATTTTTTTTAACATACTTCCCCACACTGATCAGTGAAGATTGCTGAAGGCGGTAGGGCACAAAGAAGCGAGAGCACTGACGCATAGTACAACAATAGATGTTGCGGCAACACCCTCTACGGCCAGCAATGTAGTCCCAGGAAATAGATACTGTTCTGTACATATTGTAATCATTTTGTAACTCGTAAATGCGCACAGAATTTGCCCATGTCTCGAAAAGAGAGAGAACTACTCAGAAGCGCGTGGAACCACAGGCGAGCAGGAAGGCTGCCAGGTGGTGATCCGGGAACGACAATTGCCCAAGTTCTGTGGTCCTGGATATATCACGATGTTGTCGGCCAATTAATGAGTGTTTACACGTGGAAGGAAACCGAAGCACCTGGAGAAAACCCAAAACGCATGACGGGTAAACGCTCTCTCCCATAACAGACATATGGACTGTATATCTGACTGTTGAGAAGGGGCAGGAATATGTTGTACTTTGCATATCGCACTGGATGGATAGGATCTAAAACAATGTTGAGTCAGTGTTAGACAATAAAATAAAATATTTTACACTTCAACAGGTGGAGACCACATTTTTGCTGTTCTGCCTTCTCCTGGCAAGTCAAGAGTATGGCACCTCAATACCCACGGGAATTGAGTTTTTAAAAAAATAAGATTTGTGCAATCCATCGACCCTCGCTTCCAAAGTACTGGATTACAAACGTGCGCCACCACGGATCCAGCTAATGTGGTAACATTAAAATATATCATATTTTTCAATTATATCAAGTAATTTGGAGGGTAAAGTAGGTGAATGTGTGGACTCCCTTGGACATACACGGTACCTTCCGAGTAACAGATGAGATGGATGCCATTCGGGAATCTCTTCATGATGGGCTTCAGCTTGCGCACAAGACCGTGCACTTGCGTCCACATGGGCTGCAGGCTACTGAGTCCGTTATAGAGATCGATGGAGATCACCTTTGTGTTTGGGTGTGCCTGGAATTACACAAGTATAAGTCACAGTGGAGTTAAAGTGATAACTCAAAGGCAAATATGTGAATTTGATGTGTGACGTTGAGTATGAACTCTTGCGTGGCGTAAGGGTTCAGGCTAAATTTGGAGAATGTTTTTCCACCATGATGCAGCATAAACCTGAAATCATACAGAGAAGCACCCCTTACACAAACCTTCACTCTCGATTGCTGTTACTCTGATCAACTGGATTCTGTTCTTGGATAATATAAATGTAAATGGTTTTGATAATCAGACGCTGTCCTCAGGTGAAAAACAGGTCTGTCGGAAAGACAGACGCTGTCTTTCCGACAGACCTGTTCTTCACCTGAGGACGACTGCTTGCGTTGTGGCCGAAACGTCGTGAGAATTGTATTTTATTATGTTTTATTTTTATTATTGTATTATTTCCCTTCTACGTGACTTTACCGAAAGAACCAAGAAGGTGTCTAAGTGATATTAACGTTTCTGTGTTATTGAAATTTATATTTAACTATTACAGTACTTAAGCTAGTTGTCTGTGAGGCCGCATACGGTAAACCCGAATTTCGTTACCGTATATACCTTCAGAATGTTCCTTTTCAAAACTCTGAAATCACTTGGCTTTCCAAGCAAGCCATGCACATTAACGATTGGTTTGTAAGCAGCAGTGGAAATAACAAAGGCACTAAGGGCAAACAAAATGAGACTCCGGGTAAATTTGCAGTTAAAAAACATGGCCATGTTTTTTTGTCTGTCTTTAATGTGTCACTCTTGTTGGAAAATTCACAACTAAAATAAAATAAAATTTAAAAGCGTGATGAAAAGAAAAAGAGCTAAGGTTCAACGAAACCCAAGATACAGACTCGGTTTGTCTGAATATATAGGGTGTGGGACAAAAGGGGAGTTCTGCAATGTGGTAACAGATTGCCTTCAATAAAAGAGGACCTTATTTTTCAAAATGTTGTAAATCGATTGGTAGTATACATATATTTACAAACTGTTGCAAATATCCTGATGGGATTGCAAAACACTCCTTTGTTGACAATAACAGCTGTGGTCGATCACCGCTGCAACACTACTTTAAAAAAACTAAATCAGATTTCATTACTTTGTGCAATCCAAAAGGATGTTTCCACCATTTTTATAACTCAACCTTTTTCTGCGCAAAGACGAGTGTGATGCTGTACTCCTAGGTGTTGTTTATGAGAAGTTTCATTTCGCTTTAATGTTATTTTAGAATCATATTTTGACATCTGTGGGCACCGTTTTAATGGGTATGGTAGGAAAATGCCCTCCATTAGCACAGCTGTCAGAAGGATTGTGATTTCTATTCGTGTTTTCAAAATAATTGTCTGCTAAAAAGTTGAACAACTGTTCATCACAAAAGCAGACGAAATGTGACAACACTTGGGGGTTTTCCCCTCTAGCTTTCAGCAAAAAAAAACCCTTTGTTCCTTCCAAGAGGCATGCATATTAATCATTTAGCAAGTCGTTTTTTTGCGAAAAACAAACATTCAGCTCATTACTTCCCCCGGACTGCGGCTATGCTCGCAATTTCGCTACTTACGGTAAAACCTGGGGCAATAATTATCCACGGTCAGTGTGGGTACAACGTGGGTGTGTGTACCTTTCTCTTCCAAAAATCACTTCTGTTTTTTTGCATTGCAACAATTAATCTAATTTAACCATACCAACTCAGTACATCCTCTGCCTTACAAAACAAATATAAAATAATAATATTGAAAGAAACACATTGCCACACTTTTGCCACGAAAATAAATAATTATGGGTGCCCATTTCTATTGCGCGTACAGAAGAATGAGAGGCTTCAATGAGTGAATGAGAGGAATTGATTAAATGAACGAGGGAGGAACGAGTCAGTGAATGAGAGATGTATGAGCAAATGAGTAAAGAATGCATTCATTAATGCGTAAATGAGAGATGAATGGGCGAATGAAAAGAATGAGACGATTGAGTGAGTGAACGAATGAGTGGAATGAGTTATTTAATTACAATAATGAGAATGAGTTCGATGAATACGTGAACGAATGAGTGACTGTATGCGAGATAAACGAGTACATGGGGGATGAATGAGCGAGTGGTGTCTGCTGATGGTTAGATGTCAAGTGAGTGCCTGGTTGGTAACTGCCAGTGTGTGTCAGGTGAGGGGTAACTGGTGAGTATCAGCTGGTGAGTGGCATCTGGTGAGAGTGTCACGTGGTGAGTGGCATCTGGTGAGAGTGTCACGTGGTGAGTGGCATCTGGTGAGAGTGTCAGTTGGTGAGTGGCATCTGGTGAGAGTGTCACGTGGTGAGTGACATCTGGTGAGAGTGTCACGTGGTGAGTGGCATCTGGTGAGAGTGTCAGTTGGTGAGTGACATCTGGTGAGAGTGTCACGTGGTGAGTGACATCTGGTGAGAGTGTCACGTGGTGAGTGACATCTGGTGAGAGTGTCACGTGGTGAGTGGCATCTGGTGAGAGTGTCACGTGGTGAGTGGCATCTGGTGAGAGTGTCACGTGGTGAGTGGCATCTGGTGAGAGTGTCAGTTGGTGAGTGGCATCTGGTGAGAGTGTCACGTGGTGAGTGGCATCTGGTGAGAGTGTCACGTGGTGAGTGACATCTGGTGAGAGTGTCACGTGGTGAGTGGCATCTGGTGAGAGTGTCACGTGGTGAGTGACATCTGGTGAGAGTGTCACGTGGTGAGTGACATCTGGTGAGAGTGTCACGTGGTGAGTGGCATCTGGTGAGAGTGTCACGTGGTGAGTGGCATCTGGTGAGAGTGTCACGTGGTGAGTGGCATCTGGTGAGAGTGTCACGTGGTGATGGCATCTGGTGAGAGTGTCACGTGGTGAGTGACATCTGGTCAGAGTGTCAGTTGGTGAGTGACATCTGGTGAGAGTGTCAGTTGGTGAGTGACATCTGGTGAGAGTGTCAGTTGGTGAGTGACATCTGGTGAGAGTGTCACGTGGTGAGTGGCATCTGGTGAGAGTGTCACGTGGTGAGTGGCATCTGGTGAGAGTGTCAGGTGGTGAGTGGCATCTGGTGAGAGTGTCACGTGGTGAGTGGCATCTGGTGAGAGTGTCACGTGGTGAGTGGCATCTGGTGAGAGTGTCACGTGGTGAGTGGCATCTGGTGAGAGTGTCACGTGGTGAGTGGCATCTGGTGAGAGTGTCACGTGGTGAGTGGCATCTGGTGAGAGTGTCACGTGGTGAGTGGCATCTGGTGAGAGTGTCACGTGGTGAGTGGCATCTGGTGAGAGTGTCAGGTGGTGAGTGACATCTGGTGAGAGTGTCACGTGGTGAGTGGCATCTGGTGAGAGTGTCACGTGGTGAGTGGCATCTGGTGAGAGTGTCACGTGGTGAGTGACATCTGGTGAGAGTGTCACGTGGTGAGTGGCATCTGGTGAGAGTGTCACGTGGTGAGTGGCATCTGGTGAGAGTGTCAGTTGGTGAGTGACATCTGGTGAGAGTGTCACGTGGTGAGTGGCATCTGGTGAGAGTGTCACGTGGTGAGTGGCATCTGGTGAGAGTGTCAGGTGGTGAGTGGCATCTGGTGAGAGTGTCACGTGGTGAGTGACATCTGGTGAGAGTGTCACGTGGTGAGTGGCATCTGGTGAGAGTGTCACGTGGTGAGTGGCATCTGGTGAGAGTGTCACGTGGTGAGTGGCATCTGGTGAGAGTGTCACGTGGTGAGTGGCATCTGGTGAGAGTGTCACGTGGTGAGTGGCATCTGGTGAGAGTGTCAGGTGGTGAGTGGCATCTGGTCAGAGTGTCACGTGGTGAGTGGCATCTGGTGAGAGTGTCACGTGGTGAGTGGCATTTGGTGAGAGTGTCACGTGGTGAGTGGCATCTGGTGAGAGTGTCACGTGGTGAGTGGCATCTGGTGAGAGTGTCAGTTGGGGAGTGGCATCTGGTGAGAGTGTCACGTGGTGAGTGGCATCTGGTGAGAGTGTCACGTGGTGAGTGGCATCTGGTGAGAGTGTCAGGTGGTGAGTGGCATCTGGTGAGAGTGTCAGTTGGTGATGGCATCTGGTGAGAGTGTCACGTGGTGAGTGGCATCTGGTGAGAGTGTCAGGTGGTGATGGCATCTGGTGAGAGTGTCACGTGGTGAGTGGCATCTGGTGAGAGTGTCAGGTGGTGATGGCATCTGGTGAGAGTGTCACGTGGTGAGTGACATCTGGTGAGAGTGTCACGTGGTGAGTGGCATCTGGTGAGAGTGTCACGTGGTGAGTGACATCTGGTGAGAGTGTCACGTGGTGAGTGGCATCTGGTGAGAGTGTCAGGTGGTGAGTGGCATCTGGTGAGAGTGTCACGTGGTGATGGCATCTGGTGAGAGTGTCAGTTGGTGAGTGGCATCTGGTGAGAGTGTCACGTGGTGAGTGGCATCTGGTGAGAGTGTCAGTTGGTGAGTGGCATCTGGTGAGAGTGTCACGTGGTGAGTGGTATCTGGTGAGAGTATCAGCTGGTGATGGCATCTGGTGAGAGTGTCACGTGGTGAGTGGCATCTGGTGAGAGTGTCAGTTGGTGAGTGACATCTGGTGAGAGTGTCACGTGGTGAGTGGCATTTGGTGAGAGTGTCAGTTGGTGAGTGGCATCTGGTGAGAGTTTCACGTGGTGAGTGGCATCTGGTGAGAGTGTCACGTGGTGAGTGGCATCTGGTGAGAGTGTCACGTGGTGAGTGGCATCTGGTGAGAGTGTCACGTGGTGAGTGGCATCTGGTGAGAGTGTCACGTGGTGAGTGGCATCTGGTGAGAGTGTCAGTTGGTGAGTGACATCTGGTGAGAGTGTCAGTTGGTGAGTGACATCTGGTGAGAGTGTCACGTGGTGAGTGGCATCTGGTGAGAGTGTCAGGTGGTGAGTGACATCTGGTGAGAGTGTCACGTGGTGAGTGGCATCTGGTGAGAGTGTCACGTGGTGAGTGGCATCTGGTCAGAGTGTCACGTGGTGAGTGGCATCTGGTGAGAGTGTCAGTTGGTGAGTGGCATCTGGTGAGAGTGTCACGTGGTGAGTGACATCTGGTGAGTGTCAGGTGGTGAGTGACATCTGGTGAGAGTGTCACGTGGTGAGTGGCATCTGGTGAGAGTGTCACGTGGTGAGTGGCATCTGGTGAGAGTGTCAGTTGGTGAGTGGCATCTGATGAGAGTGTCACGTGGTGAGTGGCATCTGGTGAGAGTGTCAGGTGGTGAGTGGCATCTGGTGAGAGTGTCACGTGGTGAGTGACATCTGGTGAGAGTGTCACGTGGTGAGTGACATCTGGTGAGTGTCAGGTGGTGAGTGGCATCTGGTGAGAGTGTCACGTGGTGAGTGGCATCTGGTGAGAGTGTCAGTTGGTGAGTGACATCTGGTGAGAGTGTCAGTTGGTGAGTGGCATCTGGTGAGAGTGTCAGGTGGTGAGTGGCATCTGGTGAGAGTGTCAACTGGTGATGGCATCTGGTGAGAGTGTCAGTTGGTGAGTGGCATCTGGTGAGAGTGTCACGTGGTGAGTGGCATCTGGTGAGAGTGTCAACTGGTGATGGCATCTGGTGAGAGTGTCAGGTGGTGAGTGGCATCTGGTGAGAGTGTCACGTGGTGAGTGGCATCTGGTGAGAGTGTCACGTGGTGAGTGGCATCTGGTGAGAGTGTCAGTTGGTGAGTGGCATCTGATGAGAGTGTCACGTGGTGAGTGGCATCTGGTGAGAGTGTCACGTGGTGAGTGGCATCTGGTCAGAGTGTCACGTGGTGAGTGGCATCTGGTGAGA